CAGAATACAACTTCCTTCTCCTCCTCCTCCTGCTTCCCCTCATTCTCCTCCTCCTCCTCCTCCTTCCTCCCTCCTCCTCCTCCTCCTCCTCCTCCTCCTTCTCCTTCTCCTTCTCCTCCCTGCACCCTCCTCGTTCCCCCCCGAAGTGAGTTAGTGGCCCAACTTTGGTACTCGGTGTTCAGCGATGTCCCTCAACATGTGGGTGGTTTCGTCTGAGACGTCTGCGAAAGAAAGACCCTCCTATCCCTAGTGTGTTCGGCCCTGCTACACTAGGTCCTCCCCTGCAGCATTAGGGGGACCACGACTCGGGGAGGGACTTTCGATCCATACCCGTTTCTGCTGCCCCCACTCTGGCTGTCGGGGCGGCTTTGGATACAAACTCGGCCTCTGGAGGTTGGCTGTTTTTTGTTCTCCATGCCCCCGCCCCGCCCCCTCCTGGAGTTTTGGCATGAGCAGGGTCCTGAATACGATGTCGATCGCCTAATGGCCAAGCTGTCGCGAGATCTTGTCGATGCCGATCTTGGTCACGGTCCATGTCGGTCGGCCGCCGCCGACTTGCGGGGAGGATCCATGAATTGTCGTTGGCCAGGATCGGTACGACGTTTCCGCGTTCAGTCTTGGTCATAGTTCCCGTTATCTTCCCCTCCACATCCCCGCTTCCCTCATTGTTTTCTCCTCTGTTGTCTCTGTGTGTGTGTCTGTGTGTCTGTGTGTTTGTGTTGTTTGTTTTGTGCGTTGCCTGCGCTGTGTGTGTGTTGTGTCTTGTGTGCGGCTTTGTGTCGTGTGTGGAATGTGTGAGTGTGTGCGTGTGTTCGTGTATGCGTGTGTGCGCGTGTGCTTGTGTGCGTGTATTCGCGTGCGTGCGTGCGTGCGTGCGTGCGTGCGTGTGCGTGCGTGCATGCGTGCGTGCGTGCGTGCGTGCGTGCGTGCGTGCGTGTGTGTGTGTGTGTGTGTGTGTGGGTGTGTGTGTGTGTGTGCGTGTTCGTGTGTGCGTGTGTGCGTGTGTGCGTGTGTGTGTGTGTGTGTGTTTGTGTGTTTGTGTGCGGCGGGGGCGCTGTCTGGAGAGGTGGTTGGGTCTCCGTTTATGGGCGGCGCCAACTATACACACCGATCCTGGCCGGGGCCATCCTTGGCCGAGGATCCGTGCATGTGCCCACCCGCCGTGGCGGGAAATGTTCTTGCACTGGCCTGGATGGGTGTATGTGTGTAGTTGACGTCCTCCGGCGTTTCCTTCTCCCTCGTCATCCCTTCGCTCGGCGGCCCGCCGCTCCCCCAAAGTGGCCACTGATCGCGACGGCAGACAGGAACAAGTGATGACCATTCCCCCTCCCCAAAAGAATCGAAGTTGGCACGTTTGGTGAAGACAACGGCGGACTACGTCGCAAGACACGTCGCCAATAGTGGCCACGGAAGGAGAGCAAAAGGAGGGATGGACGTCGCAGAGTGCTTCCGCAATGTTTATAACTGCAGCCTGTTCTGACCGTCTTCCCGAAGTGGGGGAGGCAGACAGACTGGCCCGAGATGACCACGGAGGGCCCTGACAGCCAGTGCGGGAAGATATACCCTGCGTAGGGATGCATTCTCGTTGGAACCTCCACATGTCTACGGGGGGAGAGCTATGCTCTCGAGATGACCATCGGGGACCCTAATTATCCTCCATGGGGGCACCGATCGGCCCTCGAGAGGTCCCGCCTTGTCTTCTCTTGTTTCTCTCTGGGAGGGGGGCAGGTGTTCCCTCGAGATGACCTCCAAGGGCCCACCTCGCCTTCCAAGAGGGCCCCAAGGTCAGGGAAACGCAACTATGCAGCAAGGCCCGTGGATTCGCGACGGGCCCCGTCTCAATAGAACATGGGCTCGCCCCGTCGCCAAGACAGGCGGCATTGGCTCCATGAATCCGGCGCCCACGCGTCAGATCCACGGATTCTTAAACCATGTCAGCGTGCGCCCAGCACGAGGTTCCTGAGAGGTGTTTCCTTGTCTTCTCTCGTCCCCATCATCCATCATCCCGTCGTGCTATCATATAATGCTCCCTTCGTCAAGAAGTGAACGGACAATTCCGAGAACGGAGAGCTACTCTTCTCCATTACCTTTGTTCTTGAAACACATGTCCTTTCTGCATCCTCTCTCCTCTCTTTCTTCTTTCCTCCACCCCCGTTCCCCCTCCTTCTCTCTCTTTCTCTCGCTCTCTCCCTCTCTCTGTTATTCCGTCTTGCCCTGCCCCCACCCTTCGCATGTTATTTAGGTTCGCCACCTCTTTTTCTTCTGCATTCATTTCCGCTATCCGCTTTGCTTATTCCATCTATCCTCCACTATCTGATTTCGCGGCTGCGAGTACCTCGTTTCTCAAATTGCCGCCCCTCCAGAGATTTTAATGGGAATTGGCTGAAAGGCATCCTCTCAAGAGAGACCGTCGCGGCTCGGAAACCAACATGAGGTGTGGTGTTTGCATCGTTGACGGCTTATTGTTGAGTCTCACAAGGCCTGCCCAATCATTGCCCATTGTCGGGTTTTTTGTCTCTGCCAAATTCCAAGCTAAGGCGCGTATCTCCCCAGATGGTGGGACCTCAGACCTTGCGTGGGGGTGCAGTGAGGTATGCATTATGTAGGTGTCATGTATTATCCCCTCCCCCCGCATGCTTGAAGCAGATTATTTGACTTATCGATTTCCCAAGTTCGATACAAAACAATGTGCGGGATCAGATCGTTTTGAATGATCCCTACTCGTTACCTTCCTTATTCATCATCATACCTGTGCCCTCCTCCTCCTCCCTCCCATCCTCCTCCGATCCTCTCTCCTCATTATTTCTGCCCTTCTCCCTCGTCTCTCCCTTTCCCATCCCTCACTATCCCCCCATCCTCCTCCATCGTCCTGGTCCATCCGTGTTCCTCTCTCTCTTCATACGCCTTCCTCCTCCCCCCGTCTCCCGACCTTAAACTTCCTTCGCTTCCCTCTCCCTCCTCCTGCCTTCCGCTTCCTTCTTCCCTCCCCTCTTTTCCCCTTTCTCGTTATTATTTCGTCCTCGACCTCTCCCCCCTCCTCCCTTACCGCCCTCCCATTCCTCCTCCCTATCCTTATCCTTCACGTGATCCTTCATATCTTTTCTTCTCATCGTCTTTCCGCTCCATCGTCCTTCCTCATCCTCCGCCCTCCTCAGTCATCTCTACGTCCCACCCGATCCTCCGTGTGTACTCGCACACTCCCTCCTCTTCCTCCCCTCTCATATCTCGTCTCTCCTCCTCCGTCCTCCCTCCCCCCTTCTCCGTCTCATCCTTTCTCTTCCTCCGCCTCGCCCCCCTCCTCCCGCGAGGATTTTGGGCGACCTCCTTGACAACACGTGCGACCTCCCCTCTCCCTGGCTTGCGCGCTTGATCTGGGCGGCAGGAGTCAGCAGGCAGCAGGGAGGGAAGCGGGAGAAGGAAGGACCAAACCATGTGCATAGAGGATGGGACACAGCCACAGAGGTTCATAGCCGACCGTCGAGTGGGACATGTTCGCATCCATGGTGCATGGCGAAACATGCCAGTTGAGGCGATCGCGTTCGCGGAAGCCGTGGGCTTCCTCTGGGGGCTCGTGATTGCTTCCTTGTGAACACTGCCATCGCTACCAATCTGGTGCACATGCGCTTGTGATCATTCTGCAGCGAAATGCTGGAGGAGGCAGTAGAGAGCCAGCGACGGAGAAGGAGCCAGATGACGAGGAGGAGGAAGTGGAGGAGAAAAGGGAGCAGGGAGTAGGATGAAGGGGGGGTCGAAGAGAAGGAGAGACGAGGAACACCAGGTTCGTCGCCGTCCGCTGGCGCTTCGGCCCAGGCTCACGTGCGACGCAAACGCCCGCGCGCGAGCGGAGCTATTCCCTGATAGGCCTACACAGTCGGGTATGTTTGCTCAGCGTGCCGCGCATCTGCCCCCCCCCCCGTCGCTGCGGACCCCCCCACACACACGCTGCCCCTCGGCATCGCTCGGACGTGTGCATTTTTGCTCCAGCGAGGACCATGGAGGAGCATCCCTGATCATTTGGCGAAAAAACCACGCACGAAACCCAAAAATGCACAGATAATGGACGTCCGAGCGATGGCGAGGCCCGGCCTCCCGCTCCGTGGAGGCAGAGCGACCCGCTGCCCGCCTGCCAGGCCTCGCGCGGCGCAGGGGGCCGGGCGCCGCGGCACGCATGAGCAGAGAGTTCCCGACCGTGCACGCCGATCCGGGGCCCCAAGGGTCAAGCAGTGGCGAGGCGTCCCGGCCTGCCTGTGGGCCCATCAGCGTCAGAGAGAGTGTCCTGAGAACTTTTTGTGGTTTGCGCGGGATGTTCGTGGAGCATTGCTGGCGGACTCTGTCTTGTTGCAACCCATCGGGCTTACGCTCCAAGAACATCGTTCTCCTGTGGGCCCATCAGAGTCAAAGAGTGTCCTAAGAACCTTTTGTGGTTTGCGCGGGATGTCCGCAGAGCATTTCTGGCTGGCTCTGTCTTGTTGTGATGCATCGGGCTTGTGTTCTAAGAACATCGTTCTGCTTCTTGGGGCACTAGTTCTGAGCTCTGAGAACATTGTTCTGCTTCTTGGGACATTTCTTACCTGCCTGGAACAGATTCCTATCCCTCTATCCCTATGCTGGGCATCTCCTCATCACGATGCCGATCTTAGGGGTTCCCTTATTTTTTGAGGGCGACTCCCTAAGATTGTGATCGCCTTTTGGCGTGTCGATCTTAGGGATAGGGATAAGTTCGAGGCTGTTTTTTTTTAGTTCTGAGAACCTGTCGTGGTAGGCCTGCAGGAATGCCGGGACGGTCGGCCCCTGCCCAAAAGGGGGGGGGGCGGAAAAGAGGGGGGTGATGACTAGGGGGGGGGGTATCATGGCGTGGGCCATAATATTTCCCCAGATTTCTTGGCGCCTCTTCTTCTTTCATCACGTCCCTGGCCCCCCCCGCTGGGCCGCGCACGTGCCGCCGGTCATGATTTGCATCCCCCCCTCTTGGACACCCCCCTCTTGGCCGCTCCCTGCCCAAAAGGGGGGAAGGGGGGGGCTGCCGGCCGTTCCGGGACCATGCGCCGCGGTGGCCGCCTCCCGCTCGCGCCGCTGGTGTCGCTGCTCTGCCTCCCGGCGGCGCCCGCGGAGCGCGAGTTCGCGGAGGAGCGCGCGAGGGGGGCACGATGGGGGTCGAGGCCCGAGGACCGAGGCTCGAGGGTTACCAGCCTCGAACGTGTCCCTATCCCTAAGATCGACACGCCAAAAGGCGATCACAGTCTCAGGGATTCGCCCTCAAAAAATAAGGGAATCCCTCAGGTCGGCATCGTGATGAGGAGGTGCCCAGCATAGGGATAGGGACATGTTCCAGGCTGGTCAGAGGGTCGAGCACTGAGCCTCTGAGGGCAGAGAGGGAGAGGAGGGAGGGGGTGCGCCTTCGGGGGCACCTTCATAGGCACACGGCGTTCTTCGGGAGGCCTTGTGGCAGCCTCTCGGCGCCTCGTGGATGCGTCGTGGCTGTGTCGGGGGTCTGGGGTGTTTGTTGTCGTCGGCGGTTTGCAGTGGTTCTCGGATGTGTCCTGCGGTTTCGGCGGTTCGGAGGTGTCCCGGGGTGCGCGTAGAAGCCGAGAGAAGGGAAGAGGTGGGTGGTAGTTTCCTCTCTCGGGATCAAGATCTCCGACGTCCTAAAAGAAATGACAGGTGCTTCTCGTCATTCTCAGCCTCCAGGGGTCGTATTCGGGCTCTGGGGCCGTTGAACAAATACTCAGGGTGGTACTGTGTT